CATGTGCCAGTCCCAAGTCTCCGCCCTGTCCCCTTCTCCTGGAAGATAACCTTGGGAATATCAAAAGAAACAATGCATTTTAGTTGGAGGATGATAGCACTAATGGTCAAAAGATTGACTGGAAAGGAAGGAGCATGCAAAACATTGGACAAAGTTATAGAACCTGTACAATCGACTGTACCCTTACCAACCACTGGCTGAAATGTACCATCAGTTGTTTGAATACTATCAGGCGATGCTAGGTGAGTATATGATGAGAACTCACTAGCATTACCTGTCACATGTCGAGACGCACCGGAGTCGACTATCCATTCTGATGATCTGTCGGGAGACATAGAAGCAAGAGCATGTATGTCATCAATACCTTTGGTCGGATGAGCATAGGTAGTAGTGTTACCTCTGGCGAAGAATGACGTGGATGCCTCCTCTATTCCACTCCTTCTGTCTCCATCCCCTACTACTTTCTGCTTCCTCCTGGGTATCGTCAGGAGCGCCTGATCCTCCTCAGTAAAGACCACCTCAGCTTCTTCTTCTCCCTCTACTACCATCAGATTCGCCTGGTTGCCTGCTCCTCTTCCACCTCGTCGACCCCCACGGTCACGACCATGCCCTCCAAACTTTCCATGTCCACCCGAATTTCCTTCCTTAGGTGGCTTGGTGCAAGCATGCCTTAGATGACCCACTTCACAGCAATTGTAGCACTACCGAGTCTCTCCCCTGAATCCAGTATTGCTAGAGGCTGCCAGTGCTGACTTCATCATAGGAAGTCCACTTGTCCCCGCCTGCAGCCTAATGCGAGTCTCCTCCTGGATCATAGCCGAGATAGCCTCCTCAAGCGTGGGAATTTTTGGCTGAGCTAGCAGTAATGCAATCCGCTGAGCGAACTCTGATGTCAATCTCTTGAGAAACACCATAGTCCTCTCCTGTAGAAAGGCCTCCCGCTCTTTACATCCCGGGTCATTGCAGCTCGCCCGGGGGGAGAAGTGATCATAATGTAGCCACAGGCGCTCCAGCTCTATGGCATATTTCTGTGCAGTCCTCTCTTCCTAGACTGTGGCAGCGATCTCTCCCTTAATCTGGAACACCCTCAGGTTATTCCCCACTCCATCATAGATCCTCCTCAACTTCTCCCAGACGTCCTTCACCTTCTCAATGCCATCCACTGTGGTGGCGATCGACGGGACCAACGAGTTGAGGAGCCAGATGTACACCAACATATGAGTGAACTTCCACTCATCTCGTCCTCCCGAGTCCTCATCCGATTCTGTCTTCTCTCCTGTCAAGTAACCCTTCAGGTTCCTCCCCGCAAGGGTGTATCTCACCCGTCGTGACCAGCTCAGGTAAGTACTCGGTCCATCAAACTTCAGATCGATGGTCGAAAGTTCCAACTTCTTCGATGGTCTTGTCGCGCTCTCATCAGCCGACAACTTCATCAACTTCATCAAAGTTAACACCTCCGCAGGGTTCAACTTCTTGATGATCTCCTCCATCGATCAGGCTTCAGACTCAACACCTGTTCACCTTCTCTTCCGACCCTTGTTGTGTGTAGTGAAAATTTCGGCAGCACCTCTGCTGCACAACAAGAAGAAGATCTCAAACAAATTCTCGTTTCTCAGAGGAAACAAGAATAAAAAACAGTGATATATCTCATCGCTATGAGATATATACTCTTCCTGTCATCAGTTCGAGGACTGAGTCGAGGGAATCCATGTCAAACTCTAGGTTCGACATGGTGCAGCAAGGGGGGAGGTCGGGGTTTGAGGAGTTTGGAGGGGTC